TCTCAATCACTGTGTTTGGAGCTCTCTCTTTCAATGGGAAGATCTCCTTGTTGCGAGAAACAACACACCAACAAGGGTGCATGGACCAAAGAAGAAGACCAACGCCTTATCAACTATATCAAACTCCATGGCGATGGCGGTTGGAGATCTCTCCCGACCGCTGCAGGTCCGTGAAAGATTCGAATATCTCGACTTTTAGTTATTCTATAGTTTCTCATCGTTTATGATTGAACAAACAATAGGGTTGCTGCGGTGTGGAAAGAGCTGCCGATTGAGATGGATCAATTATCTACGTCCTAATCTCAAGAGAGGGAACTTCACTACGGAGGAAAACGAACTCATCGTCAATCTCCATAGCCTACTCGGTAATAAGTAAGTGTCAAATCACAAGGTCTTATGCTTAAAAGTTAGTTAAGCTTCTTAGATTACTCGTTCTAAAATATATTTAGTCTTGAATTATAGTTTATTATATATATATATTATATTTGACTCTTTATTATAGACGGAGTGGTTTACCATATATATCAATCTCCATGGCCTGCTCCGTAACAAGTAAATGTCAAATCACTAGGTTTTATGTCTAAAAGTTAGTTAAGGTTCTGAGATTACTGGTTCTAAAGTATATTAGTCCTGAATTATAGTTTACCATATATATCATATATATCAATCTTCATAACCGGCTCGATAACAAGTAAGTGTCAAATCACGAGGTCTTATGCCTAAAAGTTAGTTAAGCTTATGAGATTACTGGTTCTAAAATATATTTAGTCCTGAATTATAGTTTATCATATATATCATATTTGACTCTTTATCATATTTAACTTAGAGAGCTTTTATTATATACAAATATCTTGTATTCGTTTATTGCTCTGGGAGAGAATTTCTTCAATAGCTAGCTGTGGTCGTTTTGGCAAATATTCTTATTAGTAATTTGATGTGATGATTATAATGACTATCAGATGGTCTCAAATTGCGGCGAAACTACCTGGAAGGACAGACAACGAGATAAAAAACTATTGGAATACGCACATCAAACGAAAGCTTTATAGCCAGGGGATCGACCCGCGAACCCATCGTCCATTGGTCAACAAAGGAAGTACTTGTTTGACGAGGGAGGTGGAAGATTCAAACAGCAACAGCAGCGGTAGCTGTTTGACGACGGAGGTGGAAGAAAACCATGAGCTGAATCTCAATCTAGAGCTCTCCATTGGCCTTCATTCCCATAACCCAACCACCAAAAGCCCCGGCGGCGGCGGCGGCGGCGGCGGCGGCGGCGGTTCCTGTTTTAGTCCAATTTTGAGCACCACCGACAGAATTAGAAACGGAAACTTCCTCCTCCAACCCCATCTCTTTACATGTTACACATCGTCCAATTAATGTTTTATATAACTTGTTGTCTCACATTTTCATTTCTCAGATTTTTGTAATATATATGCTTATTATATGGTTTATTAGAGGAATAATATATGATTCATATATATATATAATTAATTCAATTCGAACCTAGCTCAACCGATAGAAATACTTAATTATCATTTTAAATGCAAACTGTTCGATCATCACAATTTTGCACGAGTTCTTATCTAAACTTAAAATTCTTTAAAAAATATATTTTTTTTTTTAATTTGTAGACAATAATGATTTAGTTGTTTAGACCCTTTATTAAATTTTTATGTATTGCGAGCAAAAACAAAGTATATTTTAAAAGTAATAATAAACTTGGAATGGATTGGTTAATGTGAAATCAATGAATTCTGAGATCCCACGGTTGAACATTCCTTATAAGTGTGTGGAAACCTTTCCTTAGTAGACGTGTTTTAAAACCGTGAGACTGACAACGATACATATCAGGCCAAAGCGGATAATATCTGCAACGGTGAATTTGGGCCACTACAATGGACAGTGTACCAACTAGGATGATGGATTCCAAGGGAGTGAATTGTGAGATCCCACATCGGTTGGAGAGGAGAGCGAAACATTTCTTATAAGAATATGAAAACCTCTCCTTAGTAGAAGCATTTTAAAATCGTGAGGCTGACAACTATATATAACGAGCTAAAACGGATAATATCTGTTACCAATGAGTTAAATCCATGAATTAATCTAATTTATAAAGTTTTCATTTATTTGAATCAAATCAACTTGACGGGCGGAGATTTATATTCGTTCAAGGGGAAGTGACGGAATTATTCAACTACTTTCATTATAACTATTGGTCCAATTATGATTGATATTAATGAAGATGATATTAGCAAAGGAAAAGGCATATCTTGCTACCCCTATCAAGATTTTAGGCCCCAAGATAGTGTCACCTATAGTAAGTTTCAACCACACAATCTAATCTCATATATTATCATTAAATATTAATGGAATTGAAGTTTGAAATGACATAACCAATATATTTGAAATCATTCCAAACAAATTTCAAATATGAAGCAAACCAATATTAAATGACATGAAAATGTTGACTTTCAAAATTGGGAAATTTTGACCAAGACAATTCTAGATGGTTGAACAAAAGATGACGAGACATGAACATGTATATTAGATATATTAAATAAAATACATTTTTTAAATTTGATTAAAGACACCCATCGCTGAATGGAGCAACACATGAACAAAAGACGATGACTTGGAGACTCGATCAAAAGTATTTACGACACTTTGGTGAAGTAATCTGATCAAACAATTGATAGGAGAAAATTTGATGATCGACTATTGCTATCAACTATTGAAAGTTAAGGGTGTACATGGGTTGGGCCGAGTAAATTTTTGAAATTAACCCAAAAGTTCGAGTTGATTTGATTGATAACCCAAATAACGTGAAATAATTTCACAGCCCAACTGTCTATTTTTGAGTTAAATTGGGTTGAGTTGTCAGTCTATTTTGTGATTGGATGTGTATTTACTATTTCGAGCATGGATCTACCACTATTATCCCAAGCTGGTAATTGGATGTGTATTTACTATTCTACACGACCTACACATGTGAGTTGGACCCATCAGTCAGTTTGCACATCTCCTGAGCCCCTTTCCTAGTCGTGGACACAACCTACACGTGTGAGTATGAACCCATCAGTCGGTTTGCACACCTCCTGAGCCCCTTTCCTGGTCGGGCTAGCATTCTCTAATGTTGTAGCAAGACACTGGGTATGAATAATGACCGTCACAACATTATGATAAAACATAATGATATTCCTTGTAATGTACGTATTCGAACCAGTATAAAAAAAAAGGATATTCTCCGATGCATGAGGTTCGGGATATAAAACACATTTGCTCAATTCTCTTAATAACCCTAATTCATAATCAGTTTACCTTCTCTATTGCAGTTGAGTCTTTGCCGGAATTTTCGAGCTTTCCAGCAATGAAAGCTTATTAATCAAACTCACCCATCCTCTTTCAATTTGAATTTCCAAATCAGGTTCAACTACCTATCCCACGGACCCTTTTTACTTATACAAGGATTTTCAATCCTTTGCTCTAACCCGCTGAACTACCTGAACCACTTTCCTAAAGTCTGTTTTCTTCGATCGTTACCATCATTAAATCCAAAACTTTCTAGACCTTTATTCGACGAGGTCAACGACCATCTCTACTCAAAAGCAATCCGAACAAGTGGATGTGACCAACTTTATTACCATCCCTAGAATTGGACATATACAAAATGTTTGAGTTTGTATGGTAATAACACCTACACCAACCGTGGGGGCCCATAATTAACTCCCATTAATGCCCATAACTTGACGGTATTTATAGCCACAATGTCTACCAAACAACTCAATTTTTACTTAATTCCAACACTACCCCCACCCAATTTCTAAATTTTTTTAAAACTAAATAACTCTTATTAAATATTAAAATCCGGTCATGTTTTTTAGCCATTTTTATAAATTTTTGTTTAGTACATAACATATTTATTTATTTATTTATTTTTAAATATATAATTGAGATTTTAAAAAGTTACCCACCAAATAATTAAAAATTATTTTAAAAATTGTTCGAGAATAAATAACTAAAAATAATAATTATAAATATATGTATATATTTGTTTTGCCCCAAAAAAAATGTATTTTTTTTTAAATTAACAACCAGGTTCAAACTAAATAATTTTTTTTAACCGGATATATATATATAATTTTAATTTAAGGATTTACAAAATTATGTTTTTTTTCCTTTTTTCTAAATAAAAAATTGAATTCTTAATGAAATTTCAAAAACAAAAACAAGATATAATTTTTTTTTTTAACACATCCTAATAATTAAATAAAATAATGTTTATTAGCTTTATATTTTATGCTATTTTTGGTAAATTTTAAATTTTAATATATTTTAGAAATAGACAATTAAGCAAGAAAAACTAAAAATAAAAAGCTTAATTAAAAAATAATAATGAATAATATGAAAGAAAACCTAAATAATAATAATTAACAATAAAGATTCGCACCGCTACTTCTAGAGCACATGAAATTGAAGTCAAGATCTCGTTTAGAACTTACCGCAAACTTCGTTGGAAAATTCCCAAATCACCAATTGAGGAAGAACCGGTAAGAGATTCAAATTTCCACGAACCCTAAACCACAAATCAATTCATCTCTGTTATTTCCATCCGATTTCCAGCTTCAGGTATGCTTTTCTTTTCTACTCCTCTTTTGTACTATCATTCGATACTCTCAGATTTTTCAATTTCTTGGACTGATTCTTGTTATTTTTATTGTTTTCCAGTATTTGAATCGTTCATTCTCAATTTCCAGCTTCTGATTCTTGTCATTTTTGCGTGTAATGATCCCCCACCCTGTTCTTCGCATCTCGGTTTCACTCAAATTTTAGGTTTCTTCGTTGGTGATTTCTTTCTTTACTTTTCATTTCCTTCTGCTGTCTCCAAATTGATATTTAGTTTGTCGATTAAATGCGATTTGAGAGTTATGATGGAAAGAATTTGTCGATAGCTTTCTGTTTTTGTTTACAAAACGGTGGATTGATTAAGTTGCTTGTAAAAAAGTAAAATTATTGTCTCAGATTTACTGTTTATGAACAGCTATTTTAGTAGTTCTAAAGAGCTGTTTGGTTCGATTTCCAGATTTTTGAAGTTGTTTTTCGCTCATTAATGAGATGTCTTTTAGTAAAACAGTTTGTCATTTGAACATTTAAGGAAAATACTTTTGCTTAACATTTTTGGAAGATTGGAACAAGTAATTATTTGGTGGTTGGAACATTAAAGTGACCTAAAGTATCGTTATGATTCTTAAAATCATTTTGAAAAGCGTTTTGAATGAGTTAAGAACATTTGTTATTATTTCAAAATTCATATTAAACTCACTTAATATGAGAGATGAACAGTGTTTCTTGGCTTTTGAAAGATGATTTTGAACATTCTGAATACTTCTGATAGACCTCGAAGTGTTTGAGATTCAAACCTTTAACCACTTGGTCGAAGGTATATATTTTATGCTTGTTGAGTTATGTTCATGTTGGCGTGTTTGAAGCAGCTTCTTCTAAGATTACTCAATTAGATCACATGCTTGCTACTCTTAGACATTATTCTGAAGTCACTCTCTCCAGCTTTGAAAGATGAAAATACAGAATCTCTTAAATGAACAGTCAGGATTGAGTTTGTTCTAAAAAGTCAGTCCCTTAGCCAGTCCTCAGGAGCTTAGTGCATCCTAGGGATCATTCACGCAAAAATGACATGAATTATAGGTCGGTTTAGCAAAGACATAATTATTTTAAGGGAACTAAGGCCAGCGGTCTTCTACTTCGCGTATGCATTTCATACACAGGCAAAGAATAATGGAACAAGGTATGCTCGAACTCATATTCAAGTTAAATTTACTTAAATAATGGAGTTCTTTCATTTTCCCCTTGCATGTTTTCCATATTTAGATTTCAACTTCTGTTTCTCCTTGGTTGGGAGCTTTCTGAAGATGTTTACACAATAGGTTGAATGGATGGACGTTCATTAGGAACCGCCATTCGTTTGTAATAATCTTCTAAAAGTAGTTTGGGGAAGTTCTACTCTGATTAAACAAACTAAGGATGTTCGACATTCTAAAAGTAGTTTGTGTAACGACTTTACTAGAACAGTATTTGTTCTTAGGTTGTACATTTGTGTCCTTGAGAGTTCTAAAAGTAGTTAGCGGAACATGTTTTCATAAAATTTTTGTTATTGAAAGCATAAAAAATAAGTTTCAAGAAGCCAAAAAGAGTCGGAAAATAGACCCTCGAGTTTTTGAAGTCATCGTGTAACACGATATTGATTGGTCAAATCCTCTAGCCAAAAGATTTACTGTCTAGTGTCTAGGGATATTGAATGGAATCCAGTTTGCTTGAACAGCATGTTTGATCTGCTTGTTATTGAAGTTCTTTAAGGTTACTTCTGCACTGCATCTATTTAGCTTGCAAACACATCAGTGTGTCAAAGATACTCTGTTTTTAATAAATGTATATGCTTTCACTTAGAGTAGCAAAATTGGGGTTTAGTTTTTCACGGTAACGGTTTATTATCCCTATGCTATTTTCTTCATCGTATGATTAGCGTGACGAAGATGAATGTTTTTCTCAATGTTCTTGCGTGGTTTGAAATGCATTATAACTTTTGAGTTTACTTGTTTAGCAGACCTGCACATTGATCCAGTCTTTTCAACCCCTTTCTTGATTTACAGATACTTTGGTCGGTGGTGGATGCTTGTCTTTTTTGCTCATTGCCCCACCGAAATGATGAGACGAGAAAAGAGGTAAAGAGTCTCTACGTCATTTTAACATGATATGATGAAAGTCTACTTAGTCGTTTCACCTTTGGAATCTACGAAGTTCATTGTAAAAAAGAAATTGTATATTGTTCAAAACCGACTAAATCGACGTGAAACAATGTTGTTTCTTTTTTAAAACACGTTGGGAACAAATAAAACTCTGCTTGATAACAGTCATATGGTTTTGGTTTTTTGTTTTTGAAAATAAGCTTATGAATACAAGAAACCTATGCTCTCTTTTAGGGGTTTTCATTAAATAAAAGAAAATTGGTGTTGCCTCCAATCATATTGAATGTGTGATTGGTCTCCCGATTTTAGAAAGTTTCAGCTTGCCCAAACAAAAAATTTATGTTCGGGAGTTGTTTATATGGAAAGAACTGGCAATCCTACCCTACTTGAAAAAACAGAGAAAAAAAGATAGTCACCTTTTATCTGATATTATCCTATTTGTTACATCAACTAAGTTAGGTGAGATGCATTCATGTGGTTTGTACTTTGAGAAAATATTTTAATTTGTTTTATTTAAATTTATGTTATTTATTTTCTGTCACATTGTTTTAATGACTTTATATTAAACATGTAAACCTATGATCTCGTTATGAAATATTTTAAATGAATATTTTCTTACATTTTAGGGACCCTGATTTTAATAGGAACTAAAGTCATTACCGTTGGTACCAAAAACCTACCTCATTCTAATAAGAAACTAGGGTCATTACATTTACTAGAGCTCTTGGTTTACATTTTAGATATGCTCTTGGTTTACAAGTTAGGCTCAAGATGTTTCCATGACCTTTTTTGATGCACTGTCCAGGTATGCCTAAGTCTCAAGATGTTTCCATGAACATACCCAACGACAGCAGCATCAGCAGTGGGGTCATGGAAATATCTTGAGCTTATCTCGTAGGTTAGTCTACAAAATCTATAGAAAAATCGTAGACCTAGATTTTCGGTACCAATTGTAATCTTAATTTCCTATTAAAGTCAAGGTCGTCTCCACTTCATATATAACATATCTAAAATGTTCGAAAAATTATTTAAAAATATTTTATAATGAGACCATGGACTTACCCATCTAGAACTATGAAATATAAATATCATGGTTCCATGAGAGTGAAAAGAACACAATTTCAAACTCTTTCGACAAAGTTTGTGGGATTCATAGATAAAAGTGGGTGATGTAGTTTGCTCACATTCATCCTTGGCAGTCATCATAGAAAATGAAGATTCAACCCTTACTTTTGGCAAGGTAGATATGAGTATCTAACTTTGAAGGTATTATTAATAGAAGTTTATGCAGAGCATCATAAAGACAAAAGTTGGTACATGCTGACACCTATGGACCCATCAAAACTCTTTCCGATAGTAATATGAGGTATTTCTTAAGTTTTTATTAATGATTACAATTTGCAAGTTTGAGTATATTTTTTTTGGTATAATAAAAATTTTGCTAAGGAGAGTGTTGCTTTCATTTCTTTTCTTTTCTTTATTGAGATTGAAATCAAGTTCTTTAAAAAGGGATAGGTGAAAAGGACTTCCTTACTTGATTTTGAATAATAGTCAACATGACGGGGAGTGCATTAGATATTTACCTAAACCGGTTTTTTTCGGCACTCGGTTCCCCTCTCCTTTGGCAAGAAGATATTCCTTCGGAACCCTCTCCTTTGCATCAACAAGTAGTTTTAGTATTTTTATTACTGTTCGTGTCAGTTTCAATATTGATCCAGGCTCTAATATCGGCCTTATTTTTAAGACCAAAATGCAGCATTCTCCAATCAAAATATTTTCTATTCAGATTTTTTTCCCGATCTATTTTTTCCCGATCTATAATATAATTATCTATTAGATAATTTCCATTTATCTGCGTTGTACTTATATGAACTTTCTTGATTATTTTTTACTTGTACTGTTAATTCATAAATAGATGAATCTTTATTATCTTCATAATTAATGGATTTATATGATAAAAGGACGTTCAGTTTACTTTTTCGATTAGGAACTCTTAGTCGAGCTGATAGCGAGATCGATTTTGTGTTCGGGTGGAAGTTTATATCGTGTTTATTTTTTTGTCAGGCTCACGAGTGTATCTTTTTTGCCAGGTTCACGAGTTTATTTTTTTTTTGCAAGCTAATGATATTAGTAAAAAACTTATTGTAGTCTACTCCACATCAAAATATATTAGTGGACAACACTGCAACCTAGGGTTCAGCTACATGAACCCTCAAGGCTCAATACATTTACAATAAACCATAGGGTTCAGCTACATAAAGCCAAATCCACAGCAAGCCAGCCACCTCACAGAGCACGAACACGAGAGATGAGCCAGTCACTCACAAACCTTAGCCGTTGTCTTGTTCTTCCTCTTTATCATCATCTTCCAAAACGTTGCCATTGTGCATCGCTTGCGCCGTCCTGTGCCACCATTGCCCATACCGTACTCACTACTATTGCACGTCGGATGACCATCGCCAGTCGCCGTTGTGCATCAGACAAATGCCGCCAATCACCCACGTTGCCGTCGTTGGAACCACTATTTGAAGGAGTAAATGGCGAGTTTTCATGTGGTTTGTTGTTTACGTCCAGTCTTGACTTTATATGGAACATACCTTTAATGTTTACCTCTAAATCAAGATGGTTAGGATTGGACCCAACCTTTACATAATTTGATGCAAAGCGAAGAACCTTACTAGAGCTTGATATGCTGCGAATCCTCTTGAAAAAGAGGGGTGTCTTCGAGAAGGCGGACACAAGTGGTATATGGTTGTCGTCAGCTCGTGTCGTAAGGTGTTGGGTTAAGTCCCGCAACGAGCACAATTCCGTGTTTAGTTGTAAATCGTTGAGATTGGTATCTTAAGTAGACTGCTAGTGATAAGGCGGAGGAAGGTGAGGAAAACGTGCCCATATCACCCAATTTTAGAAAGTTTGGGTTCAGGAGTTGTTTGTATGTATGGAAAGAACTAGCAAACCTAACACATTTGAAAAAACAGAAAATCACTTTTATCTTATATTATCCTATTTATTTTAGAGAAAAATAAATATTTTTTTCTTCTTAAAATAATACTCTACTGGATCATAACCTTAAAAAAAAAAAAAAAAAAATCACAAAGGTTAGAGTTGATGCATCATGTAATTTTTCTTTCATAGTCTTATCTAAGAGAAGATACTTTGTCTATGATCCCGTTTTAAAATATTTTGATTTTTTCATTTTAGATATACTATGCAAGTATAGTGGGACCTTAATTTTAATAGAAAATTAGGATCATTACAGTTTGTTGATATGGTCTCGTGGTTTATAAATTTTGTAGACTATCCTATGAGGTAGGCTCATGATTTTTCCATGACCCTTCTAATGCACCGTCATCGTCATCAGATATGTCTAAGGCTCAAGATGTTTCCAAGGACATATCTAACGATAACGGTGTATTAGCATGACAATGATACATCAACAGTGGGGCTAGTCTACAAAATCTATAAACCTAGATCTCTAGTACCAACTTCCTATTAAAATCAAGTTCTCAACTTCATATATAACATATCTAAAATGCGCGAAAAAATTCATTTAAAATATTTCATAATGAGACCATGGACTTACCCATCTAGAACTATGAAATATTAATATCACGGTTCCATGAGAGTCAAAAGAGCACAACTTCAAACTATTCGGACTAGAGTTTTATAGATGAAAAAGGGTGACGCGTACTTTGCTTATGTACTATAGGGGGATATGACTAGTTGTTACTTCTTCTTACCCTGAGTTATATGCTATTTAAGGTGTGATATTCGTTTCTTTGCTTATAATCATATAATGTTGGTTTCTTCAATTCTTCAAACCAGTTTCCAATGTATTTCATTGCTCATGTTTTCTAAATCTTTTCTCGTAACGTGACTCGAGGCCCGCACATACGCCGACGTTGTTCGTGAAATCCGAATTTTTCAAGACTAACTTGTTTGCTTGGTTAGAACAAGTGCCACACATTCGCTGCCTCGAGATCAATGACTTCAAGATTTGACTATGTTGCATGTTTAATTTAAAAGTCTAATAACTTAAATATGATAAGTTGTGGAGTTACTAGCACATGAGCAGAGGATAAACGCTGGCATGAAGGGGATGAATAGACATTGAAGATGACATACAATGATAGAGTTGGTGGAATAGGTGACAATCAAGTTCATGGAGCTTTTCGAGGGAGTGTAAAAGAAGAGGTAGACAATTATTTAACAAAGCCACAATTGAGTGTTATATAAATATCATTAATTAGGACATTTTATGAGTGTCAAATTGTGTAGAGAAGATGTCTGATTTATTGATTCACGACATATCAATCATATGTGGCAAATATGAAACTATATTTTGATTCAGCCTCAACTATATCAACAATACTCAAACTATTAGATAATCATAATTGGTAATAACATCACTATTCTTATTGCTATTACAGAACTATACATGAGATTTTCACCTCATACGATTCCTTCAAGGCCATAAATAAATCTAAGGAGTTTGTCGGGATTATTTATCCTAATATGTCATTTTTGTGGAAGAGTATAGGATAAAAATTTGTGAAGTGTTTAACAATTGTAAGAATGTACGTAAACAAGATGTTCATATTACTTGCAAAAATTATGCCAAAAATCGTCTATGTTCCATCAAGTCTGTTTTCAATAGTAAGGTATTAAGTTTTTATTAATGATTGATAAAAACCTTGTTGGGAAAGAGACCGGATTTTTTTTTTTTTTTTGCCGAAGATATTAGTAGACAATTTATAGTAGTAACATACGCTCTCCAATAAAATAGAATAGTTGCAGGAGTAGATAATGGTGGACATAGTTAGAAATATGTTATTCGGTCACGAGTTTTTTTTTTTTTTTTTACCAAGCTCATGATAGTAATAAACAATTTATTGTAGCTTACATTCTACCATAGTTGCAAGAATATGACAATCATGAACAGAGTTAGAAGCTTGTTTTCTAGTCAGGGATCGAAATCCAACCACCCGCGTGACAATCACGAATACTTGCACTTTAGTATAATGATTTGTAAATTTAGACTTTGCACAATCACGAATACTTGCACTTTAGTACAATGATTTGTAAATTTGGACTCCCAAAAATCTTGAGGTCAACCCGTATGCAAAATTGAAGATTTAAAAAAAAATATATTATTTAGTAATT